AATTTCCTTTCGATTTTTTTTTTTTTCTTTTTTTTCTTTTTTCTTTTTCTTTTTATGATGAACAATATCTCAGCGTTGCCTCTCGAAACGTTGCGTCCCTCTTTACCGCTATTTTTAGCCTAGTTTTCCAAAATAAGTTTAAAAAAAAGTTTGTTCGTTCCTCTTCGTTCGTTTCCAACGTTCGTTCGTTCGTTCGTTCGTTCGAGTCGAAAATTCGAAGAGATTTGAAAGCTAGTAATTAAGCGTCGATATTTCGTTCGAAACAACTTTTAAGACAGTACGAACGAATTCGTAGCAAACTGGTAAGAAGGTAGGATGGAGATGGAGAAGAAGGAGAGAGAGAGAGAGAGAGAGAGATATAGAAGGTGAGGTTGAGGGAGAAAGAAGATGGAGACGATGAAGGCGATGGCATGGGTAGAAGGGGAAAGGAGTTTAGAGAAGAGTGAAACGGCACAAACTTTATCGCTATTTTGACCGTTTTCAGTCGTCGTGAGACGCCAATTAAAGCGAAACGAGCCAGGAAACTTCGATAACCGTGTCTCTCTCTCTCTCTCTCTCATTCTCTTTCTCTCGCTGATTCTTCGAGCGAACGAGAACAGATTTTGCAAGCAAATTAGTATATAATTAAAGGAAATACCATATAACGACTTAATTAGCGTAATTCGTAATTAGTATTGGCCGGACTTTCCGTTTAGAAGGACTCTCACCGTTCTTGTTTCCTCTTTTCCCCCCTCCTTTTTCATCCTTTTCCCCTCCTTGTTCTCCCCCTCCTTCCCTCTCTTTCTCTCTCACTCCGTCTTCCTTTCTCTGTTAACCTTATCGTTGTCAACCCTTGGTCCGTCCGTCCTTCGATATTTCTTTTTTAATGGTCAGATTAGGGAGGTACAGTGTGTTTTAATTTTCTTTAATAGCCAAACCATTCTCTTCTTATCCCTTAACATTCGACGATACTTATTCCTTTTCTTTTTCTTTTTCCTTTTTTTTTTTGTTTTGTTTGTTTGTATTTTCTTTTTTTTTTTTTTTTTTTTTTTTTGGAGTCTCGAACATCACATCCCCGTGTACGTCGTTTTCTTATCCTACTTATTCTTCTTTTTCTTTTTTGATTGCATCTTTCTCATCATCATCATCATCATTTTCTTCCTTCTTTCCTTCTCATTTTCTTTTTCTTCCACCCCCTTGATGGCTCTAACCTTTTTACCTTTGTTTTACATAACCATTGACGGACTTAGCGTTTACGTTCTTCTTACGAAATTATTACTAATCAACGTTTTATTTTTGCTCTCTTTAACTTCCTTCCTTCCTTCCTTCCTTCCTCCCTTCTTTCTTTCTTTCCTTTCTCTCGCCCTCATCGCTCAACACCCACCTACCACCCACTTTATTCCTATCCACTCGATTTTATCAATCGAAAACCTTTATGGTCGATTTTTTACGTTTAATTTCTTCGTCGATTTGATCTATCCTTCTCTCTCTCTCTCTAGCTCTCTCTCTCTCTCTCTCTCTCTCTCTCTCTCTCTCTCGAATAAAACTTATCGAACGAATACACATTAACTTTATGATTTTCGATTCTTTTCAAAAGTAAATGAATTATATGTTTTTCTTCTTCTTCTTCTTCTTCTTCTTTTTCGTTTGGTTTGATTGGTTTTGGTTCGTATACGTATACGTATATGTTTGTATTTTAAATAAATCCAACAAATATAGCATAGCTCGTTTCGATTGATCTGAAAAGAATGATATTATGGATAAAAGATTTTCTTGTCGAGTCATTTTTCTTTGTCGAGTTCCGTCTTTTTTTTTTTTTTTTTTTTGCCTTTTTTAAGTCGCCCAATATTTTCTTCTTCTTTCCACACCCCCGTTCACCTCTGCCCCCCTTCTGTCCCCCTACTACTATTCTTTTCCATTGCATCTTCCAATGAAAAGATACGAAGCTCTCGAATTTATATAAAATCATGATAGATTATGCTTTGAAACGTCGAAAATAGAACAAGGAAAGAGAAATAGTGAAATGAAATGAAAGATAATGAAAAAAAGAAGTGGTAGTAGTGAAAAAGAAAAAGTAATAGTAAAGAAGAAAAAAAAAAAAAAAAGAATATATTATGTTTCAGATAATGTTGAAATGACACTTGTCGTGAACTTAACGTTTATGATATATATATATATATATATATTTGTATATATATATATATATATAAAGTGATTCAATTAATTAATATTCCGTCGATAGGTGGATTGGTCGATGACAGCTGAATGTATCGATATTATATTTATCGTTAATTAAGAGGTCGTTTCGTTCCTTAGGTAGGTGACTGCGAGAAGATTGGTTAAGAAGAAAAAAGAAACAAAAGAAAAAAAAAAAAAAGAGGAAAGAAAAATTTCCAAATTTCACATATAGTATTCTAACGTATAAATTACGTAGATATTATGTTTAATTAATTACATGAAGTAAGAGAAAAATTCTATGATTTATCACTTGGACGAAACAGTTACGTTAGATTCGCAAAAAAATTTGATAATTATTGAGAACACGATCAGCTTGAGTTTTATCGGCCATTTTTTTTTTCTTTTCTTTCTCTTTTTTTTTTGTCTTTTTTCTTCTTTTTTTTTCCCCCTACCTTTCGAAACTTTTCTTCGGGATTCTTCGAGCCTTATCGCGTTTCTCGAAAAGTTCAAGCTCGTTTCGCGCCCGCCACCATATATATATATATATATATATATATATATATATACATATCCCCTTTTCTTCTTCACCTTCCTCCCCCTCATCTCACTTCTTTAGCCCTTTTCCACTCCCCCTCCCCTCCTCCTCCTTCTTCCACCAGCCGATAACTTCCGTGTTTCCTCGATGTTATCGGCTTCTCGACTTTATATCGAACTTTTCGTGAAAACTCGCACGCGATCTTTCTACCAACGTGTAGATATATATATGTATGTATGTATATATGTATGTATATATGTATGTATGTATGTATGTATGTATGTATGTATGTATGTATGTATGTATGTATGTATGTATGTATGTATGTATGTATGTATGTATGTATGTATGTATGTATGTATGTATGTATGTATGTATGTATGTATGTATGTATGTATGTATGTATGTATGTATGTATGTATGTATGTATGTATGTATGTATGTATGTATGTATGTATGTATGTATGTATGTATGTATGTATGTATGTATGTATGTATGTATGTATGTATGTATGTATGTATGTATGTATGTATGTATGTATGTATGTATGTATATATGTATGTATGTTTGTATGTGTGTATGTGTGTACGTACATACTGGTAAGTAAGATAACTATAAGCATCGAAAAAAAGAAAAGAAAAAAAGAAAAAAAAAAAAGAAAAGATAATCCGAACAAAAACCTTTCGGTCTAAAAAAAATATTAACGAATGAAAAAAAGAATGAAAGAGCTAACGAACGAACGAAGGAAAGAAAAGGAACCGAACGAATCTATCGATTGATTTGATTGATTTTTTTTCTTCTTTGTTTTTCTTGTTTTTTTTGTTTTTCTTGTTTTTTTTTTCTTTTTTTTTTTTCTTTTTTTTTCATACTCTTTCTTACACTTCTTCCCCATTTCGTTACTTTTAATCGATCGGATGACGACGAATGAGAATCATTTCTCGTTTGTTTTAATCGTTTCAGCAATTCTTCCCAATGGACATGGTCGCCTTTCCGCACGACGAGGACAGAGGGACCTTCTCCGAAGTGGAAAGTGCCTTAAGGGTGAGTAAAAAAAAAAAAGAAAAAAAAAGTAAAGAAATTATATATATATATGTATATATATATATATATATATATATATATATATATATATATATATATATGTATACAGGCTGTTCAAAAAAGCATAAGATTAAACTTATACCACGTATTACTGAGATCAAATAGTGATGAAAGAAAGTTTATATAAATTTGTTTATTATTAATGCTGTATTAAGGGGAAAAAAAAAGAAAAAAGGAAAAAAAATCTATACGCTTTTAAAGATATTTATTGATTTTATTGTGGAATTTATAAAAAAAAAGAAAAAAAAAAAAAGAATGGAAAAATTCATTTTTTCGCAAGAATGCTCGCAGTCAGTTTTCTTCCATTCCTCGTATCTTGTGATTGCTGCGAACTGAAATATTCCAAACTGTATATTGAAAGTAAACGAAGTAAATGCATTCTGAATACAGTCCTTCCAAAGTCTATCTTGTCTTTCTATCTTAAAAAAAAAAAAAAAAAAAAAAAAAAAAAATTCCTTCCGTCGATCTAAGATCTAAGTTAAAATTTACACGTCTATTTATTTGCCCTATCGTTCAAATTAATTTTATGTCTACTTATTTATATGCGAAACAGATAAACACACACACATAAACATATACATATACATATATATATATATATAAATATGTATTAATTAATATGTTAAAATATGAGTTAATATTGAATAAAAATTTTGTCAAGACGTAATTAGAGATTAAATTCGCAATTAAAATTTGTACAAATTATATAAATTTGAATTTGAATAAATTAAAAGTGCAGTGATAACATTTCTTAGAAGAGAAGAGAGAGAGAGAGAGAGAGAGAAAGAAAGAGAGAATTTTTCTTTCTTTTCTTTGTTTTTCTCCCTCTTTCATTCGTTTTTAGTCGCATGTCATAACCGGCTTTATTTTGTTCTGGGTGGTTAACGATGGAGTTTCTTTATTTTTTTTTTCTTTTTTTATATATACACACCTACATACGCACACACATACATATATATATATATATGTATATATTTTTTCCTTTCTCTTGGTTTATTTTCTTTTTTTTTTTTTCCTTTTTTTCTTTTTTTCTTTTTTATTTTTTGTAACTATCTTGCGAATCGCAAATTACAGAATTACCTGTCGCGCGAGGACGGCGAGTGCCCGCAGGTGTTCAGTTCGGTTTGGATGAGGGACGAGCTCTTGAACACTTGGAGAAAAACTTATATGCTGTTACGAGAACGGAAACTCTACACGACGAAGAAG